CATAACCATTACTTTATTAGTTAACATTTATATTACCATAAAGATCAATTCTGAAACAGTATTGCAGCTGACTGATCTTGCAAAATCCGTAATAAACCTGCCTAATATGAAGAGCTTTGTAGTGCATAAAATAAAGTACTAGGCAGTCATACTAAATGTTTTGAGCATTTTGTTGTTCCTTTTTATATATCCTTATGTGTTTAGTAATGAGCAAAACAAGCAAAATGATGGAAACTTCAGAGGTTGGTCTGCAACCCATAAAGGTACTGCCTGAAGATCAAGTCAACAAACTATTTTTCCATCTGAAAGGAAATTGGATAAAGTCTTAACATGTGGGGAAAACAAGCAAACAACAGCAGCAAAGCAAAAACAAACAAACAAAAATGCATTAGTCTTTCCTTTGTCAGCAACTTGATTAATCTGACAGATCCAACCTCTTTTAAGAATTGGAACAAAGTTAAACAAATCTAAGGTATAGATTATAAGAGACAGCATTCAATGTAACCACATTTCTGTTATAAATTTGGATGCAAAGATTTAACTGACAATACCTAGTGAGTCTTATTGCTGCTGCACATGTATTCCATCAAGGGTAAAATTGCACAACATGGAATGAACCAATCTAACACCCTTTCCAGCAGCAATGATGTGCTAGATGAACTCAGGTGTAATTTCCTCTTGTTATATGTAATCTTCTGGGATATATTCCTTGTTAGTTTATGCTTCAGCAAAGGTGAGCTGTTCTGATCTCATGCTGGTAGAATGTGGGAGAACAACTGCCTCTTTTGGAAAGACAGCTGAAATGTAAAAGATCAGAAGCTGATGGCTTTGTCTTGCATTTTCTTTGCAAAATATGCTGTTCAATCCATACTGCTGCCCCAGTAAAGTTTACCATAAAGTACATGGATGAGAGGGGCAACCACTTAACTATCTTGATTAACTCTGTGAAGAAGAGTAGATGAAGAATAGAAAAGATGAAGGATAGAAAAGATGGATTATAATAGGAGCATTTGTTGCACATGGTCAGAGTAGCTCACAGGATTAGTACAGTCCTCTCTTCCTCATTTTAAAACTAATTGTACATTTAGGTTATCCTCCACAATACTTTAGATAAGTCAAATATTTTAAATTCTGCTATAGTGTCTTTTTTTGAACTGTTTTTTTTTTTTTTGAACATTTGACCTTTCAGCATGTAAATGCTTGTTGACAAGTTAGGTTTCTCTGTGCAGCTCCGTCCCTCTCTCTCTCTTTCTCTCGTACCTCCTCCCTCCCCCATAAGATGCACATTCTGTTTTTCCTTAGCATAGGTAAAAGTAGAAACAATCCCTGTGCTCAGAGTCCCAAATCTCAGCTTTTTTGTAAGTTGTCTTCAAGATACTCTGTTCCACGCCCAGGATAGTAAGCCTGACATGTATAGATTCAATTTCACATTTATCACTGTAGTCGATATTATTAGGAGAAAAATACATCATCCATATTTGACAGCCCTAGATAGTTGAAGGTACTGCAGCTCCATAGCCCAGGTATGGCCAGTTGTGGGACTGAAGTTGCATTCCCAGCAGACATATGTATAGAGAGCACATCTATACATGTATTTACATTGTGGGTCCCTTCAGCAGCTGGTCTCAGACACTTGCACTGCCCAGTAGCTGCCCCTGAATTCCAGCTTCTGTAGCTGCTGGCACCTGGGTATACAAGACCCTGAGGCCACAGCCCCACTCCTCTGGCTGCCACAGACATTCTCACACAAACACATATGCACAAACACACATCTGTGTTGTCAGGGCTGACCAAGACTCCCTTGGTCACCTGTAGCCAACCACACAGTCTCAGAAAGATCTTGATAAATTGGAGCACTGGACAATAATGAACTGTGTGTAATTTAATAAGAACAAATGTCAGATTCTGCAGCTGGGACAGTGCAATCCTGGATATGTAGGCTGGGAGACAAGTGGCTGGAAGACTGTGAGGGATCTGAGTGTTTTGGCTGGTGACTTATCCATCAATGATGTGCCCTGGTGGCCAAAAGGGCCAACCATATCATGGGGTGCATCAAGCTAACCTATCAAGGGAAGTGAGTGTCCCTCTATACTCAGCATCGGTATGATCTCACCTCAACTACTGTGTGCAGTTTTGGGCTAAAAAATATGAGAAGGACATAAAAATACTAGAATGTGTCCAGTGGAGAGCAACAAAGATGGTGAAAGTTCTAGAGGGCCTCACTTGGAAGGAAAAGCTGATACTTGATTTGTTTAGCTTAGAGAAGAGGAGACTAAGGATTGAGCAGCACAGGATTAGAACTGAACTGATTTGTGGGTGAAAAGATCATTGAATGGTCTCTTTAGAAAGCCCCACTCACTTCACTGTCCATCTTTCTATTTTTACTGTGTGCACAACTTTCATTTTCCTAGTTCAAATGATGTCTCAATGAAGAACCTATCCCTGAGTCTGATGTTCAGAATTATTTGATGGTCTGCCTCAAAAACAACATCATGTTCCAGAATTGTATGGTACAGCATTTAACAATGTTGGAGTCATTGCTAAGTCATTTGTATACACAAATTATGTATCTTTGGCTACAGTGGCAAAAGTGAAAATCCATCATATTTAAACAGTCTGTTTTTAAAGATGGTCAGAATAAAACATGTAAAAATCCCTCCAAGGAGTCCTTTTAGACTTTATTATGCCTTTTCCTAGATGCAAGTAGGAGAAATATGGCCTATGAGTATTTTAGTCTTCCTTGATTACCACTAACTGATATAATTGCAGTCAGAAACACAGAGCTTTGTGAACATAATCCTGAGGAGCAGCAGCAAAGGGAGGCCCCTTACTTTAAAAGGCCCTGAAAATGAATGGTAATAATTTGGAGTCATTAAATCTTTTTTACTATCTTTCTCTTAGATGAAAGCTTTTAAAACGCAGTTTGCTGGAAAATGAATATTCATATAATTGAAATAACAGCCATAACTACCAGGAATTAATTCTGTACATTATCTTTTTCGTTTTGATTTCTTAAAATCAAAATGTAGCAGACTGTCAAAGTCAAGGAACTTGTGTGCTAACTTTTCATTTGGTTAGATCTTTGTTGTGATTAATATGTCTGTCTGCAAAGCCCCGTCCCCCCTCCCTTTTTTTCCTTCTTTGTTCTCTTTAAGCAATGCAAGCAGCACCAATAATGATGTCTTGTCAACAAAACCAAAAACTTAAATAAGAAGATTGAATACTTTGCTAAAGTTGAAAAGTTGAAAATGAAATTGTTTCCAAAATGGTATGTCATTTTCTGTTTTGAATCTCCTGCTTAATTTCTTTTTTCCTTTTTTTTTTTTTTTTTTTTGACAATAATAATAATAATAATATATAGAATGTAGAAATTAGAATAATTAATCACTCATAGCATGGTGTGTAATTGTTTGTGAGAAACTTCTTTTAGTTTCTCCTTCCTTTTCTTGTGAATCATCATACAGTGTAACAGCAGAAGCAACAGAAACCAACAGTTTCTAATTATCTAACTCTGAAAGAGGTCTTCCACAAAATACATATTCTTCCCTAGACTTCTCACTGATCTTTTTAATGTTCTAAAATTCTTTGAATATACCTTTCCTTTGAAGGGCAACAAACCTGAGAGAAATCCTCTACTACAAATCACGGCCTTTGTAGTTGAGAAGGTACTAGAAAAACAAAACACATGGAGTACAATAACTGTGAAGAATTTTACCAACTAAAGGGATGTATATGTCAGCCACAACACATTTCTGCATGTGTCAAAGAAGGTTTCACATCATTTCAGATTTGAATATTAGGACTTTGCATTGCAGTATCAACCTCTTCTCAAGACATTAATTAGCTCGTAAGCTCTCTGAAGTCCTTAGGAAAGTAGAATATCAATCCATATTTATTTGTATTCTGAAGACAGATAGATGAGAAATATTGTCCCTGTAGAAGATGTTCATTAGCTATTCAGACAATATTGTGGTAAGGAGACACTAAGATTATTATTATTTTTTAATGGTTGTGTATTGGAAACAAAATATTTGACTTGCTTCTTAGTTTCTACAGAAAAAAAATAGAGTAGAAAAAAAATTTAATTTGAAGATAATATACAGCTACTATAAAAGCTTATTAAGCACAAAGGATAAAAGAACTAGTGGAGCTTTAAAAATGGTAATTAAAATAGCTGATGTGTGTCTAATGCATTTTCTCAGTGTCTTCTAGCAGCAGATCATGATAATGTATGTTTAACTTTTTCTTCCATGTTATTGAAATTATTACTGCTCAAACTCCTATCTCAGTTGACTGTCAAGATCCTTATATGATAGCTGTAGCTGGAACATAAAAGCAGCAGTATGCAGTCTGTTGAAAATTCAGTGTGTGAAGGTGCAATAACCGAGATGTCAGCCTTTGTTTTAGTTTTCTGTGTAATTAGAAAGAAACACATAAACCATGATCTGACATGAATGAGCAATGTCTCTGTGGCATACCTCATGTGTTTTAGGATCAGCATAATAATCAGGCTAGAGAAGAAGCAGAAATTATTCAGAGATCTGTGTCACTTTTTTGTGTTTCCCAATGAATTCTGCCTGTCACACTTCAGTGCTTTCATGTTTGTGATCTATATGGTGGGATGTTACCAAAATCTGAGAGTCTGTTGAGCTTTATACCCTTATTTGTATCTGGTAAACTGTCAAAAGTAGTGCAACAGCATTTGATGTGTCTGACACTGAAAAAAATGATTCAGAGACTAGATTAATGGAATTATACTTACAAAAATATGTACATTTTGTGCAAATGTTGCAGAATTATATGTTAGCGTGCACATGAGGTAATCTGATTCACACATTCTAGAATTTGCATTAAACTTGTACTGTTCTATAAAGACTTCACTATCTTGGTGGTTTCCTTTCCAAAAGTGATTTCACAGTTGCTAATATGCTCTTCATTTCATGTCTAGGGTGTATTACACTTGCCAGTCTGGAATATGTACATTCTCTTCTGGTAGACTGTGTTGTCCAAGCTTTTCTTTAGGCATCTGAGCTGCTTTCCTACAAAATGGAAGAACCCAAGTATTTGGTCTTCTGGATCATTCTATTCTTACTGCAATGTTTATGTTTACACAGCTATTTTAGTCCTGTTTGTACATCCAGATTTGGCAAATGTTCATAAATAAGGTGATTCCTCTTCCTTCATGATCTTCTTATCCATTAAGAAATACAAGCTGCTGCATTTACTTCCAAAGATTGTCCAGCTCTTTGATCCTTTCAGCCTGCTCATCTATTTGGAGAGGGAAAGCTTTAGTAAAATTCGGTATGTGACAGGAATGTAGAGGGATTGTTATTAGCACTTTCACTTTTTTCTTTTTCATTTGCTTTTTTCTTAAAAAAAATAAAAATAAAAAATGTTCGTGAGAAGTTAGTGATAGTGCTTGTAAATTTTACACCAGTCTTTGAGCTGCAACAATTCCATTCCTCCAATACTCCAGCATGAGCTCAACATTTTAACCATGTGTTGTATATAATTGATCTTTTCTATTTTTATTAGGTTATCAGGAAAACTTGTCAGCAATTTATTGTGAACATAGAAAGCAGAGGAAGGGATTGTTATTACTGTTATATTACCTGCCACCTGGATAGTCTTAACATATGATAAGGTATAAAGCTTGGGAACACAGTTGTAATAGCTGGTTCCACACCACAACAGAGCTTGTGATAAGTGACTATGAGACAACTCTCTGAAGAACTAGCCTGGGAGAATCTGATCACATTTCCAGCTGCCTTATCTGCACAGAAACTGCCATAGTTATCACAGTGAATGACATTATTTTCATTAACCCCCTACCGGGAAATTCCTCAAGAGAAACAGCAATACAGAATGTTTATAAAGTATTTACTCCATAGCTATTTTAAAGGCCAAAATATTTTATTCAGTTTGCAACATTCTTGGATAGAAAGAATCATAAATACATTCACAAATGGAGGTGCACATACCTTAAAAAGGTAACACTACTGAAAAGTGATAATTGACAGCTAGTGAACATACAAGAGGCTGAGCTGAGAGACTCTTAAGATTGCTTGAAAACTCTACATCTTTGCAAAGCTCTTGGATCAAATGCCAGGAGGGGATAACATATTGTGCTGCATCTACTACTATGTCTACAAGTTAGATTTCTTTCTTAGAAGTAAAATTCACAATGCTGAGTTGAAATAACTAAATTCTCTACTGCAATTTGAGCAGAGTTAGACACTCCAAAAGGCATTCACAGAAGACAATATACTGAGCACCAAAATCCTTAATACATCTAAAAAGAAGTAATGAAGAACTGAATGTGTTCTCTCCTTCCTAGTAGGCTAATAAAAACACTGAGGAAAGTTCCTCTGTGAGACTGGGGCTCAGTGGCAGAAACTGTGAAACTGTTCAGTATTAGGTGTCCATCTCACACAGTTGGGTATGGGCAACTAAATTATTTGCTTTTTAAAAAAATAACCAACAACTGCCTGTGGATAAAAAAACCCTTTTCAAACAGAACTCTTACAGTTTAATCTCCTGATCTGTGCAGAATGGTTGGTGCCTGAGACTTTAGGAATCTGAGCCTGCAGCACCCAAACTAATGCTAGAGAATGAGCATGTGTGTGTCTGTTTGTAGTGATTGTTTGTCTGTAGGCATATATGTTTGGGCTGTTATGTGTGCACACACATTCTGTAGGAGTTGGGGAACCCACTGAAATACGTGCTACATATGTACCCTTCCCTGCCACCTCAAAAAGGAAGGGGGATTCAAGAAAGAAGAATCATGATTTTGAAACTTTAGGACAGGACACCTGGGGAATAGTCACTGCTCTGTCCTGCTTTGGGTGTTACCTATAAAGCTGTCATGGGCTAAAATCCAGAAGTAATCCTGAGAATGGTCCTTAAGGACACTTCACTCACTGAGTACTATTAAACATGTGTGTTGAGACATTCAGGATATCGCTTCTGTTTTATAGCAATCCCATTTTTTCCTCTCTTGTGTAAATCAAGGCTGATAATCATTCTATACTACAGAAGAAAGAGTCTGGTTTCACCCACACCAATTTCAAGTTTAGCAGGATAAAGCAAGCACTCCATTTTATTATCCCAAAGCTTCCTCTCGGTTTCTATGGATTCTGCTTCCTTTGTATTTTCATACTGCAATCAAGGAATAGCAATACTTATCTGAATTATAAATCAGACTTTTATTCAGTCTAGCCAGCTGTAACAGCTTATCTGTATTACTATAATTAAGGAACTTTATTATCATTGCTTTGTGGAGGCCACCAGGTGCTCTGCTCTCTGTCCTTTGCATGACAAAGGATGCATCCATATAATTTTCTATAAACATTTCTTTAAAGCAGTATTTCCTATTTTTTTTCCATTCTTGTTTTTTTCTCCCTTTCAGGCAAGTCAAGATGACAGATTGTTTCTCTTACATTCTTTTTCTAATCCATCTACTTTCAATCTTTGTTTCATTCATTTTGACATTTGCTATTCAAAGACTTCAGTTTAGTCTGGAAAATCTCTGTTTTAGAGAATGCAGACCTTCTACATTACTCACTTTCATTGTAATTTCACTGACCCATAATATCATTTGCTTAATCTCCTGTTAACTCCATCAACTGAAGTGTAGAGATCATCAGTTTGGTTAGTAATTTCATTTTCTCCTTGTCTTTAAATTACTGTTTAAACACTTAAATACTGTGTAATGCCCAACTGTAGTCTTTCTCTCAGCCAGAACAAGTACTTAGAACAGCTTCATGAGATCAGCCTATGCATAAAAAGAAAAGAGGAGATCAGTCAGCCATGTACTTTCCTGGGGAGGCTTTAGACACTACAGATGTTTCAATGACTCTTACATTGTAGCTGTTTGATCCCTCCATCAGATCATATTGTCTTCTCCAAAACTAAAGTGTATTCAAAATTCATCGTTTTCTTTCCCACGTTCTTAAGAGAACAATGTAAAGGAAAAGTGCTTGCTGAAAACACCTGCGAAGTATGTTAAGTCCACCTCCTCTCACAGAGAACTGGGAAACTTTGGTGATAAGTCACCTCTGCTGAGGTTGTGAAGTGAATTAGATATTTAAAAGCAGTATTGTACAACATGTCATAATTTAATTTATTATGAATAAGATATATATAATAGGAAATAAGTTGCCAAATGGCTACTGGTTACTGATGAGAAATTCAGCAATAAAGCAAGCTGGTAAGGGAGGTAAAGATTTAATTTAACACTCCATAGCTAGATAGGGAGTTCACAATATTCAAGAAGAAATTTGATATTTATTACACTGGAATGGGAAGATTGATAAGGCTTTTTAAAAATAGGGATCCACCTAGTAAATATTTATGAATTTGATTGTATCACACAGTGATATGAATTTTAGTAATTATTGGGGGAAAGTGTTACCTAAGGTCCATCAAGAAAAATATTTTTACATCATGGGGCTGCAGTAACTGACACCCAAGAGTTCAAAAAGAAAAGAAAAAAAAATAACAAACAGTAAAATAAAAACTTTTAAAAAGGAGAAGACTGCTACAGGTATGCTGATTTTGAAGAAAAAAAAAAAAAAAAAAGGAAACACAACAAAGAAAGTTCTACATAAATAGTGAAAAAAACTGTTGCCATAATGATGATTTGGTAAACAGTTTGAAGGATAAAAATTCAGTTCAGCTGATAATCCTATATGGAAAATGAATCTTCTCAAACATGTATAATTTTTTTCTTTGATAAATAGCACGTTTAGCTGAGAAAGGTAACGAAGCAGTATGCATGCTGAGTATCACAGAATCATAGAATTGTCTAGGTTGGAAGAGACCTCAAGATCATCAAGTCCAACCTCTGACCTAACAATAACAAGTCCTCCACTAAACCATATCGCTAAGAGTAAAAGCTACAAAACCAATACAGTAAATGTTCCAAAAAGTCTACCTTATGGACTGCTTTTTGAGTTATACTTTAATAGCTAGACCACACAAAAAATGATTAGAGTGTTCCTCTAGCAACATGACATGGAAATAAAAACAAGAAAGAAATGAGTCTTGAGGATGAATGGATGAATTGATGAGACTGTTTGGTTCTGACATGTAGCTTAAAAAAAGAAAAAAAAAAAAAAAAAAAAAAAGATAATGAAAAACTGGATACAGTTATGGAAGAGAACTAAGAAATCACTGAAATCACTGCAATATTAACAAGACAGAAAGGCCACTATAAGGTTTCCCTGGAGCCTTCTGTTCTCCAGGCTGTACAGCCCCAACTCCCTGAGCCTGTCTCCATAGGAGAGGTGCTCTAGCACTCTGATCATCTTTGTGGCCTTCCTCTGCAACTGTTCTATGTCCTTCTTGTGCTGAGGACCCCACAGCTAAACACGGTGCTCCAGGTGGGGTAAACGGTTCCCAAGTTACGTCAGAGTTAGTCTTACCAGACCACAATTCTTTCCTTTATAATGACAGAAGTTTGATACCTGTCAGAAATGACTTTGGAAAGCTGAAATTCCTCCTTAGGCTAACTGTATTCCCAGTATTTTTGTACGGATTTTTTTTCTCTATATCTATTCTGCTTTATAAGGTAACAATCAATAAGATGACTTACAGATAACTCACTACAAGACTAGCAGTAATATTTCATTTTAAACACATCTGGAAAACAGTTTTGCTTAGAAAGAAACTCACTTTCTGTAGGATCATGCTGTCTGAAGGTGAGGTATCTACCTCTTAGTGAGGATTGGCACTAAAATGAAGAATTGGCTTTTGTAGTTTACTGTTTATACTGTCTTGAAGCCAAAAGATTTTATTTCCTTGGCATATCAGGCCATGTCAGGCATATAAGTCTTCAACAAACCTACTATAACAGAAGATTTTGCTAACTTTCTATTTGGTGAGACACAGTATAATACTCCTCTGAGGGAAAATGAATAGAGGTTTCTTATACTAGCATTTGCTTTAACACATGCCTTACTACTACTGAGAACACTTGTGTATGGTCATTGCAAAAGTGGACTTTCAGGGAAGAGTCTGTAGGGGGTAATGGGGTTGTCAATTCCATCAATTTTTGTGGTTGCTGTTATAAAAAAAGGAAGAGCTGTTTGTACACAGAAAAGGCAGTGCTTGAGAGGAAGATAAAGTCTGAAAATCTGTTTTTCGAAAATTCCTGTACTCAGGGAGACTTACAGTAATCTGTGATAAAGTCAATCCTTTTACCACTAAATATGGAAGTATCTCCTTCTGTTATCTGGAAATTTAAACACAGTAAAGGACTAACAAAAAATGCTAACCTCAAAATAAATGAGAACAATGAAACAATTTATCAAATATTTTTATATTTTACTAGTAATTACTTTCAAGGGTCAGGAAGACTAATATATATGACTAATTTCATTTAGAGAAACATAAGCAAAATATTGCTTAGTATTCCAATAATGCAAAGTATCTATTTATGAAGATTTCTTTCAATGTCTTCATGACTCAGCTTCAGATTGCATGAAAACTCTCCAAAATATATTGTCACAGATCAGTGTAATCTCAGAGGTCATACTCCCTTTAGTTCAGCTGCTTTAGAAATCTTTGTGAGCCCATGTTGTGGACAGGTCAGCACAGCCTGACCTCAGAATAGCACAAACCCCAGGCTTCCCTGGGTGCAAAATTAGGATAGTCTAGACATGGCAGCATCCCACCTGCACTCTGGCCCTTTGTGCCTATGAGAGGCATCATTCAGGCTTCACAAGCGAAGAAATAGAAAGGTCAGTTTCTCCTAGATTAGGGTTTTATTCAGGACCAGGACTAATACTTAGGAATTACAATCCAGACCTTAGATATGTAATGTTGGTTCAGGTGGTAAGCAATGACTGATATTCTGAATATGTGGTCTGCTCCTAATTTCTCATCAACAAATGTTCCCTCTGCCCCTAAAGCCATTCTTTCTGCTTCTGCACTCAGATTCTTACATATTTCTGAAAATTAGTGCTGCCTTTTGCAAGTAGTTTATGCACCTAATCCCCTTGGGGGTAATTTTTTTTGAAAACTTTTGAAAATTTGGATTAAGATGCTACTGAAAATATTATTTGTCTTCCTTATCTTACAGTACTTTCTTTTTTTTTCCTTTTCATGAAAATCATTTGTATTTGATTTGTATTTGATTGTAGTCAAAGAAAATAGTTATAATCAGCAGTGACATGTTACTGAGGAAAAAATATTGCAAACAGTCAATTCTGAAAAAATGGAAGTAATAATTAGCAATAACAAAAGGAAGTCAATTTCTCCATGAGGCTTAAATGCGTCTGCTCCATAAAACACTCTGTTAAAACAATAACATGATAAATGTCAAGTTGATTACATTTTAGCAAAAAATATAACTATAATATGATACAACACGATATTATGGTTACTATATTTCTATGTATTTTCTTTGTTGCATATTTTGCATTTTTATCTCTGCAAAAATTAACAATTTCACACACACACACACACAAGGAAGCTTCCTTAAATTTGTGGACCAGATTCACAGTGTTTGCTGCATCATGATTTATGCCAGATGAGTAAGGAATCCAGAATTTCTCTGTTTGTCATCAATTTCCTCATGCCATCAGCCACAAACAAGCATTTCTACTTGTATGTACACAGGCACATTGTTTCTCTCGCATTCCTGCTGTGTATTACTATTGAACAGCAGACTTAAATTTTATCAACTACACTTCATATTCAGTATCTCTGTGCTATATGCTTTTTCTATTAGGGCTGTAACCAGTGTCTGTATTATTTACTTGATTATGTGTATACAGTCTGCTGAATTACAAATGTTAAAATTAATGCAGATTCTTGGCTTCATGTTCTTAAGTACTGAAGTATTTTATTGAATAGAAAAAGGCCATTTTTTAATATAATTTACAGAGGTATCATGCTGAAAGTTTTAACTCATTTCCAAATCCTCCTATCAGAAAGAGTTCTACATACAAAAAAAAAAAAAAAGTGGAAAAAAAAAAAAGAGAAAAGAGAAAAAAAAGAAAAAAAAAAAAAAAAAGAAAAAGAAAGACAAATGAAATCCATAGGTGCATAGGCATTGATAGGCATTGCATCTGAGAACAATTTTTCTTTAAAGTTCCACATATTTCTCTAAATGTTTTCCTCTCACTTCAAATTTCCCTGCAGTGCTTCAAGAATACGTACCCTGACAATGTCAATTTTACACATTCCATCTCCTTTTAGCATCAGCCTGTTGTATTTCCTAACTTTCTAGCTTTTGTGTTGACACACAGCATTCTACCACAATTATTTACAAACGTCCTTTGTAGAAATGAGAGAGCATGATTCCTTCACTTATTGAACTTCACTAAAGAGCAAGGACGCTTGTTTTTCTGACAGGATCAGGACACACCACATCAGTGAAAGCTGCATTTTCCATTAAGAGAAAATGAATTGTCATTACCTTTGGCATGTGCTGTTTTTTCCTGTTGTTTTGCTCACTACTTAAATGTCTACATGAGATATTTTAGTAAAATTCTTGTGTTTCAAAAACATAGGTGTATTTCAGTGTATTTGCCCAGGGAGGTTGTGGAGTCTCCTTCTCTGGAGATATTCAAGGCCCATCTGGACACCTACCTAACACCTACCTACCCTAAACGAAACAAAAATACTTCTGGGTTCCCTTTCCTATAGTTTTATTGAAAGTCAGTCTACTACTATAAAAAAAAAGGCTATTCTAGTCTTAAATGCATCGTTAGGAAGCCTTCTTTAACTCTCTCCATAGAGCAGTGAGGCCTGAAGCCACTGAGCAAGTACACTGTGGATATTTACCTGTTTCTTCTCTCTTAGTTCAGGACTTTGGTGGTGATTTCTCCACAGCAGAGCAGAATGTGCCCAGGAACCTGGAAACTTGTAAAATTAAACAAGTTCTAGCATCAGGAGCCAGAAGTGTCTCACTCCGATAAGTCAGGCAGGGATAGCCTGAGGTTTGGCAAGGCTCTTCTGTCTGTCACTAGGCGTCTAAATAATATTTTATATAAATGCTAATCATGAGTTTAGAGGTAGATCTTTGCATAAATACACACACACACACATATATGTATTCTATCTCCCATTTTGCTGTTTTAACAATGGGTTGTTTTGTTGTTGGTTTTTTTTGTTTGTTTGCTTGTTTTATTCCCCCCACCCCCACCCCCTTTTCTTCAAGTTGCAACGTATATGAGAGCTAGACAGTTCATAGCAGTTTTAAGTACTTTTTATAATACCATTCTCAACCATATCACTTATCTGTCACTTATCAATCACTTATCCATCTCCAGCAAATTTTTCTGAACCCTCGTTTATAGCTAAATTCCCAGAGGAACTGCAGTCTCAAGTGCACAGATGCCTCTGACCAAAAGGCTATATCCCCCTCACCCTCACCCCACCAATAAATAAATAAATAAATAAATAAATAAATAAATAAATAAATAAATAAATAAATAAATAAATAAATAACCTGCTCAGTTCTAGGGCTCAAGCTTCATACATATTCTCAGATGGTGTTGATATGCGAATAGTCATTAGAAAGACTGATCTGGGCAGCAGTGCAGTATACTGTTTGTTTCCAGCCATTATTAATGAAGTGTTTTCTTTCTTTGCCACAGATGTTTCAAATGATCATGTGACAATGGTAAAAAGCAGCTGAGAAGTATTTGCTTACAGGCACTATAGAGCACTCTAGCCATCAGGTGAAGCCACCACAGGGATTCCCAGCAAAGAAGGCGCAGGAGAATTCAGAAACCTCAAGACTGAACTGCAAAGTGTTGTTACCACCTTGCTTCCTTCCCGGTATTTCTCCTGATTCCCTAACTTGGGCAAGAGCTACCCTGGCAGCCTTCAGGCACAGGGCCTCTGTCCATGGGGAAAGGATTTACTTTAGACACAGTAGATCATTTTCCTGGAGTATGTTACAAAACATCCTCATTTTTCTTACATTTTACAGAACCCCAAGAGGTTTGTGTTTCCTGTTCCACGATTTTTTTGATACCAGTTATTTCACAGTTGGCTCTATTTCTCTTAGTAACTTCTATTTCTTATTAATTTGGATTATTTATACAGGATTTTTGCTGCTATGGTTGCTGTGATATATGCTCACTGACTCTTTCTGGCTGTTGGGCAGAAAGGTTTCTTATTTTTTTTTTCCTTCAATTTTCTTGTTTAGCAATCTTTATTCAATAAAGGTATACTTTGACTTAAACTACACTTTTTTTTTTCTTTTTTTTTTTTTTTTCTTTTTTCCTTTGCAACTTTATTTGTGTTCTAACCTACCCTAAGACATAGCAGCATGGCTAGGCAAGAAAAGAATAGCTTGGGACTATTCAGGCGTAAAGGTGGGGTTAGGTGTGACAATTACAGTTCATTCTATATTGGGCCCATACATGCATGCCTGTTTTAGGGAAAGGGTAAGTGGATAAATGAGCACGAAGTTAAGTAGTAAGACATTGAGGAATAGTGCATAGTAAAATAGGAAGCTGTGCAGGGTGATTGGGAAAAGAGACCACTGGATGAAGTAAAACTTGCTGTCTTTCAGAGTGGAAGAGAGGGAAAACAAAACAAAATATTTTTTCTCTAGTTTTGCATAGGGAAAAGCAAAGAATTCTCAGGGTTGAAAAAAACAGGGTAGAGACAAAATACAGTTTTAGTTTGTTCATGTTTGTTTGTTTGTTTGTTTTTGTTTTTCCTTTTTCTTGAAGGCTAAGAGGGATAAGAATGAAGGAAGGCAGGTTGAGTTTGTTTTGAATGGTTTTGAGGCAAGGAATTGAATGACAAGCAAAGATTATTTTTTATTTTCTTTTATTTCTGGGTGGTTCTGGGGGTGATGCAATGTGCGTGTGTGCACAAATGTAAGAACAAATGTGTGGGATGTATTTGATCCAATGCTCTCGAGCCATATTCTCAGGATGACAGTGGTGAAAACAGGATGCTTACACACGGTGTGAGAACTGGGAAAGCATGGTATGACACATTATAGAGACCTTTTGTAGTCTGGCTCTGCAACATCCTCACCCAGACCGCAACAGGCTGATGTGATCTCCGTGGTAATATTAGCCTTAAAGTGATCCTCCACATTCATCAGCTGGTGGTCAAACCAAAAGCCAAAACCCCTGTGTGATTCTGAGAATGCTCATGTTTTCATGAGCCAACAAATGATCCAGGCCTGTGACCAATGTATGTGGTGCTGCTTAATCTGGTCTAAACACAAAACTTTGGCAGTTCCTCCAGCCATTTCCAGGTTTATTATCTGATGGTATAACCACTTGGGTTCTTGATACAAAGGGATCAGGAATGATCCCTGACACTACACTCTTGATCAATAACACAAAATAGGAGGAGATGCCAGAGGCTAGTGCCATGGTCCACAGAGACTTAGGATATCTCTTCTTTAGATGGTAAATCAGGTGTAACATATGTTTGGTTCACAAATACTGACAGAGGCCTGAGTAAGAAACATTCATGAGACAGTCATGCATTTAAGATACAATTTTAGATATAATAAACACCATGCATGCAGACATTTATTCTATCAAGGCCTTGTTTTGATCAATGCAGACAGAAGAGATTTGCTCTAAAAGGTCTCAGAGCTGGGGTTTCTTTGTGACAGGCAATGCACAGGCTGTTTTGATGTAGAGTTACCACTTTTTTAAACTGTCTGTCTCTGCCACAAATACGAAACTACCTTACACTTAAAAATGAGCCACTAGAATAGCATTCCTACTAAAGCACAAAACGAGAGAGAGGAATTATTAAGCATATTTCCAAAAGTATAATTAGGGCATTGAAAAAGAACTAAGAAAAAGAAGTCCAGATATATCTGCTAAAAATATTGGAACTCCCAGATTTAAAAATGAGTCATATGCTGAAGATTTATTCTGTACATTCCCTCTATTTAAAATATTTTTATTTATTTTACATATATGTTATATTTAAAGTTCATATTTATTGGATATGAATTCATATATATTGTATATAACTACAAAGAATCAGAGAATAGGATAGGAATATTTTAGGCAAAATATTAAAGCCCAAAATTTTGTAGTAATGCATTATACGGTTAATAATTTCTTGGGTCGAGAAAAGGAAAGAAATATACTCTAAATAAGTAATTAAATTGTAGCAGGTTCAGTGGAGACTAATTGACCAGTCTGAGTTGCCTGGTTAGAAAAATGTGACTAGCATGGCTATAACAGCAGAAGTGGTACCAGAGTGGGCAGTGGCACAGCAGCATTGGGCTCCAGGTTGTTGCATAAAGCTGAGTGGGGGTAAGAGCATATAGAGCCAGGCTTCTATGGGAAGGAGCTGCCAATAGCCATAGCCTCTCCATGGCAGAAGCCTGAACACACCTCCTAAAATGACAGCATACAAATCCAATTGCACTTCTGGGCTAGGATTGAATGTCAGGGAACATCAGCTTGGGTGTGTCTGCCTTTGGAAAAGCTGGAGATTTTACTCTCTTTTGGGAGAAGATGAAGAGAGGTAGCATGAGAAACGAAAAATGTGAGGTGAATCCTTGTCTGATGTTTAGACGTGTGATGGGGAAAAAAAAAGGAAGAAGGATAGACACCAAACCTCTGTAAATTTTCAGAGAGCAGTATGGTAGGCTGTGATGGGACACTGGCTGGCTGCTGGCTGACATTTACAAATCAGGGGAAAACCTAGTGGTTTGGTGGCCTACTTTTTCTTGGCAAAACACTGTGCTTCAGGCTGAGCTCCTTCATATTTTGGAAGGAGTTTTCATCTTGCCTACTCCAGAGCTCTGTTGGTTGATATCTGCTGCTCCAGCTCTCACTTGTCAGTCTGGGTGTCACCGCTCTGCTTTAAAAAGTACATTTCTCTTCTAGGCTGCTAGGAATAACCACAATGAAATCTTTCACCCCCAGTCTTTTATTTTATTACACTGAGGAACTATTTCTTGTTTCAGTGTATTGTAGCAGTTCATTGCATTTTATTTCTGTTACCGTTATAGCTCGTGAAGCTGCATTTGCTGAGTAGTTACTATGGATGAAAGCTTTTGTATTTATGAATGTCCAGCTTCTCTTTTATTACATTAGCATGTGGGGGTTTACAAATGTTGATACTGGTTCCTTCAATTTCTGCATTACCCTTAAGTGCTCTTTGTCTTTTTTTTTTTTTATTCTTAAACTGCTGCTGAATATATATTGCCTATATATAAAATACATTAGGCAGTCCTGAGGAGCCTGATTTTCAGTAACAGAGTTCAGAGGCCTCTTGCTTAGAGACTAAGGAATTGCTTATATGGTAAGGTACTGGACTGGCATTTTGAAAGTATTGTAGGTGATATAGAGCTTTGAACTCTGAATATTCAGATTTCAAGGATGAAAAGAGCTGTTTTTAGTTATCCAAGAATGTATAAACATCAAACAAAAAACATATGAAATATATTTGCTATAACAAAAATCCAAATGGCATATCCTTGAATATAGGACTCAGTGACTCAGTGGCTTTGGGAGAGTATGCTTCTGTTCAGCACCTCTCAGTTTGGCTCAATTCATAAATGTTCCAGTTCTGAAGCTATGGCACCCTACACAAAGAACATTGTATAACTTTTTTTCTTGTAGTTCTATAACTTTCTTGTGGTTTATATGTGTGATTTTTTTTCTATCTAGTCTTCTGCATCATCAATCATTAAGCAATATCTTGCTAGTCTTTGTTAAGAAAAGTGCTTTTTAATGACAAAAATTCACCTTTTGCTATACAGGGTACATATTGAGCAGTAACTCTGGAGGTATCATTCCTGAAGCATTGCCCCATGCAGACCTCTGGCATTTCCCAAGCTAGTTCGTGTCTGTTAAGTTCTGGTACCACAAACAAATCATCCTCATCACTACAGGCAAAGTAAACAACTTCCTCTGGAAAGCACCAGAACTGCAGTGGCATGCCAAAACAGCTGTCTTGCTTTCTGGTTCAGGCCTACATCTCTGAACTATGCTGCACTGTGACTTCTAGGCATATTTGGCAGCAGCCAGTTGCCTAAGCCATGTCGTGCCTAAACTTTATGGCATTTTAGGCCGTATAACATACCTTTAGGCCATATAAGATGCATCATGGTGGACCTGCCCTGTCATCACAGGCCCTGTGAGGCCTGTGGTTGCCTGCCAAGCCACACAGATGACTTGCATGCCCCATGGATTCTCCAGTGGGACATGAAATCTGTGTTTGGGCAGCTGCATCCTGTCCACATGCTTGGGAGGCAACCCAAGGATATGCACAAAAATGTACCACCAAGGAGCAGCATCCCATTTCCTTGTGACTGGGCAGGGAATATTGCTGAGGTGAAACCAGAGTTAAAGTCCTCATCTATGCTGACAGTAAAGGGACTTTTTTATTGGTAACGTCCTTTGACAGAGAGCTGGAAACAACACAGAAAACTGGACCTGAGGTTTTCTGCTGAGCTGTTGTGTAACCCCAGCCTGCTCTTGCTCATATTAACTGGGTTCCAGTAGTAAGTGAAAACTACAGGCCTCATTTTCCTGTATGTGAACCCAAGAAAGGAAAAAAAAAAAGTTAAAAAAAAAATAAAAAAATTGCGGAATCCATTTCTCTACAGCATGGTATGATAGATGGG